CCTTTGAAAGCAGACTGGATAAAGAAAATGTGGTACATTTACACGATGGAATATTATGCAGCCATAAAGAGAAACAAAATTATGAACTTTGCAGCAACCTGAATGGAATTAGAGTCTATAATATTCAGTGATTTATCACAGAAACAAAGATCTGAGTATCACATGTACTCACTCATAAGTGGACCCTGAACATTTATCATAATACTATAAGAAAGGGATTGGCAGTAGTGGAACACTGCCAGAAGAGGAGGGCACGTAACATCAATAAGGGTACCCACACTTTACCTGTACAATGATCATGTATGTACCTAACCCTGAATTGTACCCCACGTTTTTAAAAATTAATTAATGGGATACACAATTTAATTTACTTCATTCTATGCACTAAAAAAATTACCCAAATAATCAGAAACATACTGAAGTAATTAATATGTATACAAATGTACATAAAAATATAATTCCATAAATCTATAAGTATATTTGATGGCATAAATAATCCCAAAGAAAAGTTTACAATATCAAGACCAGGCACAGTGACTCATGCCTGTAATTCCAGCACCTTGGGAAGTCAAGGCAAGAGGACTGCTTGAGCCCAGACGTTTGAGACCAACCTAGGCAACATAGCAAGACTTTGCCTCTACAAAAAAATTAAAAAATGAGCCAGGTGTGGTGACATGCACCCATAGGCCCAGCTACTCAGGAGGCTCAGGTGGAAGAATCACCTGAGCCGGGGAGGTTGAGGCTGCAGTGAACCATGATCATGCCACTGTCCTCCAGCCTGGGCAACAGAGTGAGACACATCTCAAAAAAAAAAAGTTTACAATATCTTAATTATAATGTAAATGTCAAATTATAAAATCAGCCTACATACTAATCTCTCTGTGTTATATTTGGAAAAAATTACTATTAACACTATGGATCAAATGTCAATGGTACAAAGAAGATATACACATGGCCAATAAGCAAATAAAAACATGCTCAACATCATTAGTCATCAGGGAAATGCAAATCACATCCACTAAAATGGCTGTAATGAAAATAACAAGTGTTTAGACATGCCTGCTGGCACACGACCTGCAGTCCCAGCTATTTGAGAGGCTGAGGAAGAGGGATAGCTTGACCCAGGAATTTGGGGCTGCAGTGAGCTATGACTGTACCACTGTACTCCAGCTTAGATAACAGGGCAAGACCCTACCTCTAAAAACAAACAAAAAACAACTGTTGGTGAGGATGTGGAGAAATTGGAATCTTCACATATTGTTGCGGGAATGTAAAATGATGCAACAACTTTGGAAAACAGTTTAGCAGTTCCTCAAAAAGTTAAAATTACTATATGTAGTAGACTGAATAATGTCCTTTCCCCCAAGATATTAGGGCCAAATCCCTAGACCCTGTGTTATCTCATTTGGAAAAAAGGTCTCTGCATACATGACTGAGTGAAGGCTCTTGATGTGGACAGATTCTCCTGGATGATCTGGTTGGACCCTAAATGCAATCACATGTATACATACAAGAGTCTAGAAACAGACCCTCACGAGTTGATTTTTAATAAGGATGCCAAGAAAATTCAATGGTGAAAGAATAGACATTTGAAGGCACGGTGCTGGGACAACTGGATATCTAATGAGAGAGAATGAAGTTGGATACACCATCCCATACTATATACAAAAATTAACTCCAAATGGATGAAACACCTCAACGTAAGAGCTAAAACAGTGTCATATCTAAGAGAAACACTTAGAGAAAAGTGCAAGTGTAAATCTTTGTGACCTTAGATTAGGCAGTGATTTCTTAGATATGACACTAAAAGCACACAAGCAACAAAAGAAAAAATAGATAAACTAGACTTCATTGCAGTGACTCACCCCTATAATCCCAGCACTTTGGGAAGCTGAGGTGAGGGGATTGCCTGAGTCCACAGGTTTGAGAACAGCCTGACAACTAGGCAAGACCTCATCTCTACAATAAATAAAAAAATTAGCCGGCTGTGGTGGCACGGGCCTGTAGTTCCAGCTACTTGGAAGGCTGAGGCAGAAGGATCACCTGAACCCAGCAAGTCGAGGCTGTGGAGGCCGTGAGTGTGCCACTGCACTCGAGCCTAGGCAACAGAATGAGACTCCAACTCAAAGAAAAAAAAAAACTGGACTTCATCAAAATTAAAAACCTTTGTGCTTCAAAGGACATCATCAAGAAAGTGAAAGGACAACACACAGAATGAGAGAAAGTATTTGAAAATCAAATATCTGATCAGGATCTAATATTCAAGATATATAAAGAAACCTTCTATCTCAACAATAAAAAGACAATCCAATTTTTTAAATGGGTAAAAGATTCAAACAGACATTTCTCCAAAAGTATACAAATGATAGTACACCTGCACTCTAGCCTGGGCAAGAGTGAGATCTTGACTCAAAAAAAAAAGTGGTATATCCATGCAATATTCAACTTAATGTCACTGTACTGTACAGTTGCTTTTTGTTATGTATTTTTACAATGATTTTTAAAACTTTGTACATGAATATTTATAGCAGCTTTATTCATGATAGCCAAAAAGTAGAAAACAACTCAAAATGTCTATCAATCGATGAATGAATAAATAAAATGTAATATATTAATATAATGAAATATTATTCAGCAACAAAAAAGAATGTGGTATCAATTCTCACTACAGCATTAATAAACTTTGACAACATTATGTTAAGTGAAAAAAGTCAGTCACCAAAGACTGCATAGTGTATTATCCCCATTTACATGAAATATCCAGAATAGGAAAAGCCACAGTGACAGAAAGTGGATTAGTGGTTGCCTAGGCCTAGAGGTAGGGGAAGGAATGGGGAGCGACTGACAATAGGTATGAGGTTTCTTTTGGGAGTAATGAAAATGCTGTAAGATCAGCTGTGGTTATAGTTGTACAACTCGATGAATATATCAAAATGATTGGATTATATGTTTTAGCTAGGTAAGCTGTATGGCATGTGAATTGTATAGTTCAATTGTATGGCATGTGAATTGTACCTAAACAAGTACATTGTATGGCATGTGAATAACATCTAAACAGGTAAGTTGTATGGCATGTAAATGATATCTAAACAGGTAAGTTGTATGGCATGTGAATTAAACAGGTAAGTTGTATGGCATGCTATTTTAAAAACTTAATGAGATTAAAACAATGGGGTCATTCTTTCGGGGAAGAAATACTACCTCCCTCTTTATACCATCTGAAACTGATTTTGATAATTAAAGTAATTAAGCTATCTTTATTTATTTATTTTTTTGAGTTGGAGTCTCGCTCGGTCGCCCAGACTGGAGTGCAGTGGCTGCTCCCGGCCACCGGAGCTTCGACCTGCTGGGCTCCGGCGATCCTTCCGCCTCAGCCTTCCAAGTAGCCGGAATTACAGGCATGCGCTACCACGCCCAGTTGATTTTTTGATTTATTGTAAAGATGAGGTCTCGCTGCCCAGGCGGGTCTCGAACCCGCAGGCTCAGGCAATCCACTCACCTCAGCCTCCCAAAGGCGCGGGATTACAGGCTGAGCCACCGAGCCTGGCGAAGCTATCTTTAAAAGGACCTAAAATAGTACTATAGAAAAAATGGATTCATTTGTAAAAATAATCTTGGAATACAGGTGTCCTTCTAAGTTCAACACAAAGCTCAGAAGCTAAGAAGGAAAAGACTAATATATTTGTCTCTGTAAAAAATTAAAACCTCTACATGAGAAGCAGCAAAAGGCAGAATTATAAGATGTATTTACATTGAATATAAATGGATAACTCCTTAAAATGAATTAGAAAAAAGTAAAGTTGAAAAAAACCCAATGGAAATGCTCAATCCCATCCATAATTAAAATAAGAGACCATTTTCCAAGTTACAGCTTAGCAAAGATTACAAATACTGGTAACAACCAGTATTAGCAAGAGCATAGACAAAGAAAACTTGTCATATAGTGTTGGCAGGATGGTAAATTGATAAACTTTTGTGGGGGTAATCTGGCAAAGTCAAAGTTTTAAATGCACATATCCTTTGAACTGGAAGTTCTATCTTAAAAAATAAGATTATGGTTGCCTAATAGACATGGTTCTACATCTGATTCTTGTGCTCATATTAGGACCTGCAGCTAACTCCCATTCCTTATAGCTGCAGAGTATTCCATTATAACTATAGGCCATATTTTTATTTGACTAATCCTTTCTTGAGGCTATCATCAAATATTTTTCTTAATATATTCAGAAATCTTTCAGGAAGGATATTAAGACTTCTTAGTAGGCCGGGCTCGGTGGCTCAGCCTGTAATCCCAGCACTTTGGGAGGCTGAGGTGAGTGGATTGTCTGAGCCCATGGGTTCGAGTTCTGCCTGGGCAACTTGGCGAGACCTCATCTCTACAATAAATCAAAAATTAAGCTGGGCTCAGTGGCTCAGCCTGTAATCCCGCACCTTTGGGAGGCTGAGGTGAGTGGATTGCCTGAGCCCGCAGGTTCAAGATCTGCCTGGGCAGGCGAGACCTCATCTCACAATAAATCAAAAAATTAGCCGGGCGTGGTAGGGCACGCCTGTAATTCCAGCTACTCGGAGAAGGCTGAGGCGGAAGGATTGCTGGAGCCCAGCAGGTCAAGGCTGCGGTGGCCAGAGTGGCCACTGCACTCCAGTCTGGGCGACAGAGTGAGACTCCAACTCAAAAAAAAAAAAAAATGCTTAGCAGTGTTTACTTCTAAAGACAATGATTGGTGGGTCAGGGAAAAAGTAACTTTTACTTTATTTCTCTTCAAGTATCAATTGGTGTATATATTACTATAATAAATGTTTGTAACGAAAAGTCATAGCCATATACTTTATAACTGTAGATTAGAAAACCTAAATGATTTTTTCCTGAGAACCATGAAGATATAAGGAGAATTTATCATAAAATTTTTGAAACAAATATGCAACTCAAGAGACAGTAAGATTTAACAAACAGTATGATGCCACTTGTGCCCTCCAGGCATAAGTAAGCGCTATTTACTCACCAATGCGATGTCTAAGCTCGCTGCACTGGCTGACAGGAGGCAGCTTCAGCATCTCCCTCCACTTTTTACTACGCCCACTCTTTTTGCCATATCCTCCTATATTTGAAAAAAAAAACACATTTTTTTCAAACAGTCAGAAATATCCAATTACTAACAACTACCTCCACTAATGTGTCTTACCATTTGTTGGGGTGGTTTAGGTGCCTATGACTAGCAAAAATACAAAAATACAAGCTTATAGTAATTTGTCTTCTCTGGAAAACAACTTGAAGTATAAAATTCCCAGGAGATAGTTAGTAACTAGCTCTGTCATTTAAAAAATCATGCTGAGCCTCAGTTTCCAAATTTGTAAACCAGATCTAACATGACATATTTTTCAGAGCTGCTTATAAATATTTGTTGCTTGCCAAACACCCTTAAAACAGTGGGAATACAATGGTAAAAAAGACAAAATCCCTCCCAGCATTCTATATGAGGGAGAAAGATTAACAAATCAGATAATAAGTGGCACGAAAAAATAGCTAATTGTATAGTGATAAACGGGATGAAACAAAATCAAGCAGGACAAAGGTGGAGGGCACTCTTCTGCCCAGAGGCCTCCCTGTGAGGGTCATGTTTGGACAGAAAGCTGAAGGATGCGAGTCTCAGGAAGATCTGGGAGAAGAGCATCCCATGGTGAGACAAAAATTGTAGAAAAGGCTCTACTATAATATTTCAGAAAGACCTTTTCTGGCTGGGCACAGCGGCTTATGTCTTAAATCCCAGCACTTTGGGAAGCTGAAGTGGGAGGATTGCTTGAGCCTAGGAGTTCAAGACCAGCCTAGACAATATAGCAAGACCTCATCTCTACTAAAAAAAAAAAAAAAAAAAAAAGCCAGGTGTGGTGGCACACACCTGCAGTCCCAGCTACTTGGGAGGCTGGCGCAGGAGGATAATTTGAAATCAGGAGTTGGAGGCTGCAGTGAGCTGTGATCATGCCTGCTCTCCAGCCTGTGTGGCAGAGTGAGACACTGACAAAAAAATATATACATATATATATATATATATATATATGTATATATATATTTTTTTTTTTTTCCCCAATAAGCGCTTTTTCTCTTTCACTCAGAGAAATGAGATTCTTCAATCTCAAACATTCTGGGCAGCTGAAATTTTACTGAATTTTATGCAAGAGAACTGCTTAATAGCTTAGGCTGGGTGACTATGACTCCAGGACTATTTGGAAGAACTGGGAAACCAGGAGGAAAGCCATATTTTCCTGGGGGGTGATGAGATCTGTCTTAAATACGGTTAAGTGTGGAAAATTCTAAAGCGGCAGACATCTGAAAGATGGGTAGACTACAATGAGCTGAGGAAAAAAAGTTCAGGCTGGGCACGGTAGCTCACACCTATAATCCCAGCACTTTGGGAGGCAGAGGCGAGAGAACTGCCTGAGCCCAGGGGTTTGAGACCAGCCTGGGTAACTTGGCAAGACTTGTTAAATAAAAAAATTAGCCAGGCATGGTGGCTCACAGCTGTAGTTCCAGCTACTTGGAAAGGCTGAGGCGACCTCAGTCCAAAAGGTCAAGGTTGCAGTGGCTGTGAGCATGCCATTGCACTCCAGCCTGGGTGACAGAATGAGACTCCATGATTCAAAAAAAGAAAGAAAGCTCAGCTAGAGATACAGAACTGATAATCATCTGCAAAAAAGATAATCAAAGATGCAAGAGATTCTTTCTTACCCTTCCTTTTGCTCCTACTTCCCGACCACTCCCTCTCTCACTGAGATCATGGGCTCTGAACTCATATTCTACTACCAGATGTTCAAAACACTCAAGTTATTATTATTATTATTCTGAGTCAGAGTCTCACTCTGTTGCCCAGGCATAATCACAGCTCACTGCAGCCTCCAATCCCTGGGCTCAGATGATCCTTCCGGCACAGCCTCCCAGGTAGCTGGGACTACAGGTGCATGCCACCATGCCCAACTAATTCTTAAAATTTTTTGTAGAGACGAGGTCTCATGGTGCTGCCCAGGCTGGTCTCAAACACCAGCGCTTAAGCCATCTTCCCACCTTGGCTTCCCAAAGTGCTGGGATTACAGGCACGAACCACCACCACACCTGGCCTTCAACATGTTCAAATTAGACTCATGTTCTCCCTCAAATCCAGTTCACTAGCTTATGTTTTTGTTAAGATTCATTCATTTAATAAACATGTCACAAGCACTTGCCCAGAATATGCTAAGTGGTACTTCAGTCACGTGTCTTGTCACTGAAAGGCAGGGAAAGGAGAACCTGTCCCCAGACCTCCTCATAGGGAGCATGGGAACTCATTCCAGAGAAGTGGCCGGTACTGAACAAAAGCTGTCATGTTTGGTTATGGATTTTTTTTTCAGGGCTATTTCTGGTTCTCCCTTCAGTTGAAATAAGAACTGTTCTTTGGAATATGCCACTTTTTTCTGACCCTTTAAATGATTGGAAAGCTGAGTTGTCACTTGCCTGCCATAGTACTTTGCCCTCTAGATCCCACAAGGTCAGCGAGTATGGATCTGAAAGTGTCCTGACACATGGCTTATGTTTCCAGTGTTGCTTCTGTGTCCTGGAGCTGCCAATCATTGAGCAGGTGAGAGCAAGTCACTCTTGCTCCCATTCATCTCTGCTTTCTCTTGGTTCCTAGCCTATCCCAACCTTGTACTACTTAAGTAACTAGCAAGAAACATGGCAGTCTGGCTACTATGACCTTCTTTTCTGAAGTCTGATACTGTCGGTAGACTTGAAACTAGTGCTTACACCCTCGTAGGTACTGGAGTGCCCAGGTAGGCAGAACCTTGATGAGGTGGTAGAGCTGTTAAACTGCAGTGCGTTTGCATTCACAAGTACATGGCACTGACAAAGAGAAAAGGATGGCAATGAAAAGTAGACTGGATGCATCACCCAGTGCTAACATGTTAGTAAAGAGGTAAGTCTGATCATTCTCACAAACAGGCCCAAGGAGGACAAGGCTTCCAACAAGTCCCTGCACCTCACCTTGGTGGTGTTTTTGAGTGGTTTGATATCACAGCATCTAACAGGACTGTTATGGAGATTAATGGGATAACTTGTGTACAACAGTACCAGGCTCAAGAGCAGAGTTCAATGTTCCTCTCTCCTTTAGGGTACAGTTCCCTCTATCTGATTCCCACCAAACATCAGTTCCCAGGCTCACTTCTCGGATGAGTGAAGGAAACAAGTGAAGATGCTAGGCTTTTCTATTCACACTGCTGCCACTCCCAGCCAGCTCCAGGCAGCAAGGCCTCCAGGGAACCAGGTGGTAACAGCACTCTCAGTCTTCTTCCCAATCTATGAATCCTGGCTAACAAACTATTAAGTACCTCATTCATTTATTCAGAAGACATCTGCGGTCCACATCCTGTGTGCCAGGTACAGTCTGGGCTCTGGGCACACTGTAGAGGAAGGATCAAGGAAGGCAGCCAGTCTCTGCCTTCTGCCACTGTCCTCTCTCACTCTACTCAGCCTCTCTTTCGTTGACCTTCCTTCCTCTAGTCTCCTCTTTCCAGACCCCCCTACACACTGCCTTCCAGGGTCTTCTTCCTAAAATGCAAACAACTGCATACGCTCTCTTCTCTGCTGCTTACTGTCTTTGAAGGATCCAAGTTTCAGGATTAGGTGAGAATGACATTGCCATGGAGGTGCCCAATGGTCAAGTCACACTATTTACAAAAGCCCAAAATAGTCTTTATGGCCATGACATAAATGTTAATAAGTGATTTTTGAACACACAAGTACAAAGCACTGCATATGTTTCACCTGAAAAACAACTTAAGAAAGCCCTAATTCCAAGGTTTTTTCGGGAGCTTCAAAATAAAGCCAAAATTATTTTCACTGTTGTCATTTTTCTTCAAGTTAACTATTACCTAATTTTGGTCATAAGGGGTGGCTCAAGGATATTATTTTAGAGTATAGTTGTACAGATACTTGTGGTACTGCAAAGTAGCATAAAGTCATTAAACCCAATATTTGGTTCATTAACCAGAAAAAAAATAAGATTAGAGTCATTACAATCTAGATACATAAAGTAGAAAATACTTTATAAAAAAACCAAACTGAACTGGTTGCTAATAACATGGCTGATTTATGACATCCCAATTAGCAATACCACATGATGGTAACAGAAGCTATATATTATCATTAAGGAAGAGTGAGCTAACCCTTTGATGACAGAAAAATAATTTGGCTATTACACAAATTACTCTAAATGTCTAACAGGTAAACTGGACACAGAGACTCATACCTGTAATCCCAGCACTTTGGGAGGTGGAAGCAAGAGGATTGCCTGAGCCCAGGGGTTCAAGACCAGCCTGGGCAACTTGGTGAGACCTCAACTCTACAATATATTTAAAAAGTAGCCGGGTGTGGTAGCGCACGCCTATAGTTGCGGCTACTTGGAAGGCTGAGGCAGAAGGATCGCCCAAGCCCAGCGGGTTGATGCTGAGGTAGCCGTGAGCATGCCACTGCACTCCAGCCTGGGTGACGGAGTGAGAGCTCAAGATATATACATACATATATTAACTGATAGAACTATTATGATTATAGTTTCTCTTCCTATCTGTATTTATGTTACTATAGTATTCAAACAGAGAAATGAATAATGCAAAATGGAGAAACTAGAAAGCAAGCTCCTCAAATACAACCTCAACCATATATCATTTCTATGAGATAAGCAATCATTACAAATAATTTTACAAATCAGAAACATTTATAAGTATGGAGCATCCTGGCATCCCAAAGTTGAATAGAATCTCAGGTTTTGCTCCCTATGGAGACTGCTAGTATAAAAAGACAGCTTATTTTAAAACTTGATTTCTGGTTTTCACTGAAAACAGAATTTCTGAGATATACTCTTTTTTTTTCCTTCAGTCATCAGCTGGCATTTGTAGAGCACATATTGAGTGCCAGCATAGTGCAGGATGCTGGTGACACAGAAGAGGCGATACAGAACTGCCCTCAAGTGTACCCAGCACAGTCCCAGAGTGCTCAAGAGGACACTGGAGCTGTGGCATGAAGGAAGAACACAACTTTGCCAAGAAGAAAGAGAAAAGCCCAGAAACATGAGAT